GGCTAGGGTTATTTTTATTTATTTTAGAGAGGAAGAGAGAGAAACAATAATAAGAAAGGATCATTGATGGGCTGCCTCCTGCATGCCTCCTACTGAGGATCAAGTAGGAAACCTAGGTATGTGCCCTGACCAGGAATTGAATCATCACCTGCTGGTTCATAGGCTGTTGCTCAACCACTAAGTCACACAGGCCAGGCAATACAAATACCCTTTAGCCATTCAGTATAATCCATGGTAGCAAAAATACTGGGTGACAACAGGCCCAGTGACGAAGAGCATACACGTGGGGATCAGACCTTGTTTCTATTACTCTTTCATCCCTTAGAGTTGTGTGGCCTTGAGTATCTTAAACAATCAGAGCCTCAGTTTCCACAACTGAAACATAGAGTTGTTATATTTCCTAAAAACTAAGTAGCAAAAATTTTTTAAACAATAATACTATAAAGCACTTAAACGCATCTTTAATTTTAAAAGGCAACATAAAGCTGAAATTTGTAATCTTGAGTCCCCTAAAATGATTACCAGCAGTTTCCATTCCCTTTCATAGCTTCATCTCCATCACGTCTATTTTTTAAAAAAATATATTTTATTGATTTTTTTACAGAGAGGAAGGGAGAGGAGAGAGATAGAGAGCTAGAAACATCGATGGAAGAGAGACATCGACCAGCTTGCCTTTTGCACACCCCACACCAGGGATGTACCCGTAACCAATGTACATGCCCTTGACCGGAATCGAACCTGGGACCTTCCAGTCCACAGACCGACGCTCTATCCACTGAGCCAAACCGGTTTTGGCATCCATCACGTTGATTGATATCTACTTCACCAAAGATCCTCAGAGGTATTTGCATATTAGAATCACCTGAGCAGCATTTACAACCTCTCCATGCCCTTGTCCCAGGCAAGCTAAAATCAGGATAGGATTGTGATAGTATGGCTATTAGTATTACAGGTCCACAGGTAATTCTCATGTTAAAACCTCAGCTAAGGCACTCAGCTTCTAAGTAGTTAATAAATGTTAGCTACTAAGAACTCAGTTTACATAATCAGTGAATTTTAGAACCAGTAATATCCTATCTAATAAAGATGGAATATGAAAATTGACCATCAGGCCACCACAAAGAGGGCAGCTCCCACAGCAGAAGTGGGGTTTCTGTAACACAAGAAGGCTGGGCCCACAGCAGAGGCCAAGTTCCCCTAACAAGCCTTAAGGAACAATTAGCAGGGATCTGAGGCTACACCCCCAACCCCGATGAGATGATGGGGGACTTCAGGCTGAACGACCTACCCCGATACCATGCTGGGGGACCTCAGACCACACACCTTGCCCTAGCACTGGGGCAGGGGGCCTGAGGCCATGACCCCTCCCGGCAGGGCTTGACAGGGGACCTCAGGCTGCACCCCCCCACCTGGCAGGGCTTGACAAGGTGGGTCTGGCCTGGTCTGGATCTTGCCCAAAGGGGGCGGGTCTGGCTAGGTCTGGGTCCCAAGAGATTTTGAGGCACCATGAGTGGCAGGGACTTGACTCCGGGTCCCTCAGCATATCCCAGACTCTGACAGGTGGAAGATTTTCATATACATTTTACTAATTTTATTTCATCTCTGACACTTCTATTATAGAGAAAGGGCAAGTAGCAATGTTAAAATATTTCTTTTAATTAATCCCCTTTTAATGTGCATGAATTTCATGCACCAGACCACTAGTTTCCACATAAAAGCTAAAGAAACAGCTGCGGCTAAATCAGTCCTTAATGTTTATATCCACCACCTTCAATTAACTCCCGGGGTCCAAAGCTGAAAAATTATAAAGTAGTACACTTTCCCCCCACACTCCTGAAAATTTGTTTCGGAATCAAAACATTAGGGTTCCTTGCCTTGGCTGGTGGTGCTCAATGATTAGAGTCTCAGTCTGTGCTGTGCACTGGAGGGTCTCAGGTTCGATTTCCCGTCAAAGGCACTTACCTGGGTTGCAGATCCAATCTCTTACCCTCGAGACAAGCTCCTGGGAGGCAGCCAATTGGTATGTCCCTGTCACATAGATTTTTTTTTCTCTCTCTCTCCTCTCTCTTTGTCCCTCTCCCCACTCCATTCTATTCTCTCTAAAATCAATGGAAAAAAATATCCTCATTTCTTTTCTTTTTTTTAATATATTTTATTGATTTTTTACAGACAGGAAAGGAGTGAGATAGAAAGCTAGAAACATCGATGAGAGAGAAACATCAACAGCTGCCTCTTGCACACCCCCTACTAGGGATGTGCCCGCAACCAAGGTACATGCCCCTGACGGGAATCGAACCTGGGACGTTTGAGTCCACAGACCGACGCTCTACCACTGAGCCAAACCGGTTTTGGCTCCTCACTTCTTGAGTATTAAAAATTAAATAAACAAAAAGAAACATTAAGGTTCCTCAAAGCAAGATAAACTACATGTTAACATTTAAATTTCAAAGAGGCTTATTTTATTTTTAAGCATATCTAGTACATGGGCAAGTAAAAACCACAAGGAATGGTAGCTAAAGTACCCAAGATGACTCTTTGACATTTAAAGGTATAATGTTGTGTTTAGAAAAAAAGATTAGCAGCAATTAATGCAATGAACTAGGCAACTAGTCCTGTTTTTCTTGGTATTGCCACTAATTTGCTAGATATTTGCAAAGTCACTCAGTGTCTCTGGGCTTCAGATTGTCATTTATAAAATACAGTTGCATTAAATGTCTTTAAAATAACCTGTTACAACAATGTAAGGCATGGAAAATTACAGAGAAATTCTATAGAGCAGTGATATACAAGATTAAGGCTTAAACTAGCACTACCCTTGTAGGCTATTAGAGTAATGAGTCATGATTTAAGTAGTTTTATAGCAAGAAATTTACTTCTCAAACCTAACGATTTATTATGACATATTGACTGAGCTTGCTCCCTGCCACTTCCCAAAGACCTATACCTAGGATATTATTTTTCACAGTTAAAACCTTTTAAATGGCTTGGGTTTTTAAGAAAACAACAAAAGCAATACTAAATACTAAATGTTCAAAAAACGCCATGTAATTGGCACTTGGGATACGCCAAGGAAAAAGATAGATAAGTAGTAAAAGGAGACAAAGTAGATAAGTATTTTTTGTTGATGACACTTTTCTGGACACTTTTCCATAAAATGACAGGTAGGAAGCTTTTAGACATACTGAAGCATTATTCCAGGTGTCCCTCTTTAAATTTGGAGAGGAGAGGGCAAAATTCCTTAAAAGTGTTTTCTTTATATTTGAGAAATTAGAGAAAAGTTTTGTGTATTCTTCTAAACAAAGAACTTCTTAATTAAACCTTTAAATTCTCAAAAGTAAAATCTGAAGTATCTTAACAAAAGCCATGGTTATCACTAGAAAATTCTTACCATGCCTTCATCTCAGAGCCATCCGATCTCACCTATTTTACTCAAAAGTATTAACTGATTTCTGAACACCCATTAGTATATTTTGTGTAAGTGCATATGCTGGGTTCTTTTTTAAGTACTTTAACCTATCCATTTTCAAATCCACCAATTTAATTATATCTTATTTCATGGTTCCTTACTACATCTCAGTATTCCTGAAATATGTCTCACCTTCAATTTATATAACTCTGCAGCTCCAATGAGAGGCTCAGGCTCTGATTATTAATATCTTTCTATCAATGTATTTCTTTACCCATAGATCCTAATGTGAGGATACATGGAGGGAAATATGATAATATCTAAACAAGGGGGGAAAACGGTGAAAGGACAGAAATGGAAGTCAACAGTAGTATGGCTACTTGCAAAGTAAAGAAGCTAATTCTTTGGAGCAAAATGAAGGAATTAATTCATGCACTACGTAAGCATTATGCTAAATATCTTTTCTGTTAGTCATGTTGCTTTGAGACTTTCCCATGTTTCCTCTAGACAACTGCCAATGCTCCAATGGTCTCTGATGAATAAACATGCTGTGACTTGCTTCTACGGAAACGTCTGTCATGCTCCAGGGAAAAAATGACTTCTCTAACTCTTAACTCAGGAAAACTGCACACTCTCATTCACAGGTTGCAAAGTCGATTTCCCCTTCATGTTTCTTTCCTGGGATGTTCCTATTCCCTTTTAGGGCATTGCTGCATCCAGAAACATCAAAAAAGCATCTGAGTTGGGGGAACACGTGTAGGCAAACGGTTATCCTGCAATCAGAGCGGTGTCCCACTTTAGAAGCTTAAGGAGCACCGGGGTAAGCCTTCCCTGTTTTACCGAGATGAAGGTTAAGTTCAGGTTTCCCCCATCTCCTGCAGAACTACCTGTTCTCATGACTGTTTACCCAAACGCTCAGCAAGGTGATATTAGCATATCTGGCAGGAAGGCACGCTCCATTGAATATTAACTCACCATGTGACAGACAGCCCCTTCGCCTCCATCCTCTCCCCGCACACGTGAGGACACAAAGGAAAAAGTATGGTTGTTTGCAGTCTGGCTCCGCGCTCGGCTTTGGCACCGGCAATTGGCCAGGGGCACACACACCCCCGCCCGCTCCCGGAACTGTCAGCGGCTGACAGCTGGCACTCCCTCCGCGGCCTCCTCGCAGGGAGCCCCTTCCCTGGTCCCCTTGACAGGGCTCACCTGCCCGGCCTCCGCTCCGGCCAAGGAAACTTTTTCCTCCTTCCCAGGAGCTCAGTTACAGGTATCGCCCGCCGCCCTCCCGGCGCCCCAACAAGGGGCCCTTTGTTACCATCTGTGCTCCCGGACTCCTCGCCCCGTCGTCCCCGGCACTCCGCTGCCCTCAGCAGCTCCGGGCAGAAAGCAGGGACAAAACTACCAGGGCCCCCACCCGCGGCGCCTCCGAGGAGGCCGGAGGAAGCAGCCTCCTCCCCGGCCGCGTGCGCCCTGGCCAGCGTCAGCCGCCGGCACCGAGCGGGTCCCGGGCCAGGTGGGCGCGGGCCCCCCTCCCCCCCGGACTCCCCCCCAAGACCCCCCTCCCGCCCTCCCCCCGGGGCGGCGCCCGGCTTACCCGGCGGCGGCGGGCGGCGCGGGCTCCGCCGGGGCGTCCTGCGCGCTCGGGGCGCGGCCGTCCATCAGCCTGCGGACCGCCGCGCGGGCTCCCGCTCCCAGGCGGCGCGTCACGGCTGCGGGGGGAGAGGCGGCGGTCAGGGCGGGACGCGCGCCTCCTTCGCGGCCCGAGGGCGGCTGGCGGGAGGCGCGTCCGGAGCCCGCCCGCCCGAGCGGCCCAGCCCCGCCGCCCGCCTCCGCCTCCCAGGCGCTGCCACCTGCGGCCCCGCGGGCGCCCGGAGCCGCGGCGGCGGGAGGAGGCGCTGCAGCCCCCGCCCCCGGGCCGGCTAGGGAGCCATTGGCGCCTCTCGGGGAGGGAGCGCGGCCCGGGCCGGGGGGAGGAGCGGGAGGAGGGGGAGGAGGAGCGGGGCAAGGGGCGAGGCGCGCGGGCTCGCCGCCACGCCTGCAGCCAGCGCAGCCCCGGGCGAGCAGGCTGCACGCCCCGGAGCGGAGGACGGACGGGGGAAAGTTGGGAGGGCGCTTTTCTCGCTCCCTCCCGGGGCTCCTGCTTTCTGTTCAGAGGGAGGCCGAGGCTCCCTGCGCCTCTCTCCCCTCCCCTGGGCTGTGCGCTTGCAGCTCGGAGCTCCAGCCGCGACGTGAAGGCGGAGAAAGCCGCAGCCTCCCCGGACGCAGCCAGCGCAGCCCCAGCCCCGCGGAGCCTCTCCCCGAACGGGCCCACTCACCCTGCCCCATGTCCCTGCCCCGAGCCTCTCCCCGCACCGGCCACTCACCCTGCCCCATGTCCCTGCCCGGAGCCCCGGAGCTCGCCGCCGCCTCCGCCCGACGGCCGCGCACAAGTGGCCGCGAGGCTCCGTGGCATCGGAGCGAGAGAGGCAACGAGCCGGAGCGAGGAACGGGGCGGGGATGGACGGGGACCCAGTGGGAACTTCCTTATGCCAGGGCTTTTGGGGCTTTGGGGTCCGGCTGGGGAAGGCGAATGGAAAGGAGGCTCCCGAGCGGGTGTTCCCATTCCCGCCGCTAGGGCGGCGCCTGGGAAAGCGCGGCGCGCCCAGGGCAGACAGGTAGGGAGGCAGGGGCTGGACGTGCCTTGGGAGGACCCTGGGGGAGGATGCTGTGACTGCAGAAATTCCTAAACTCACAGAGCAGGGCTGCAGCTAGCCCTCCCTGAGGTCTGATCTGCCACGTCCAGGGTATTATTTTTGTTGTTTTTTCAACCTGGCCTCTAATATTGCTCTCTTGTTAAAAGCATTCCTGTGACACTGTGACCTATCTAATGGTGGCAGAATTAAGCTTGCCCTATCTTCAAAGGCACCTTCCTTCCTTCCTTCCTTCCTTTCCTTCCTTCCTTCCTTCCTTCCTTCCTTCCTTCCTTCCTTCCTTCCTTCCTTCCTTCCTTCCTTCCTTCCCGCCTGTGACAGCTGTGGCATGAGGACTGGACAATAGGGTCTCTGAGGACAATCTATAAATTAAGAATCAAATGACAGATCTTATTCACCTTCTCTTGGAAGCGAGGAATAAAAAGACCACAGGCGCGGCTGCGCGCTTGATTGTAACGTTTAGTTCCCACATGGATGCTCTTTAGGTGACTCTTTACACCTGACAAACAGGTGCATTCGCATATCTTTATGTTATGATAAGAGTCTGTTGTTGTATTGTGCAAGCCATTTTTGATGGGTCCAAACACTTGCCTTCAGAAAATAACATAAAATTAACTAAGGAATTCACTTTAAATTACAGTTTAAAAATAAACATTTAAACAAATTGCTGTAGAGAGGTTAGGTGAAAAGTATCCTATCAGAGGCCTCTAATGTGGTATTAGTAACAATAATGTGGTAACCATTTAACCCCAGGGTAACATTTGGTAGGTAGAAAAAATTAAATTAACATTTAGAATCAATGCTAGACTAAATGGTCTTTTAATTATTTATTATTATAGCAACCAAAAAAAATGGCTAAAACTAAGTAACATTAAATACCAATATATATTATGGTCAGTCAGTAATTATTCCTTCCTATACAGAATATGTTCCTTTCAGTGTATCTTTACATAAAGTATGGTTTGTTTAGGTTACAATATTAGAACCATGGAGAAAAAAAAAGTTGTGTTTTAATATTTTACCTAATATTAATCAAATCAGTTCATTTCAATGGACCTGGCGTTTAGTCTTTTAAAACAACTCAGGTTAAACAATTTCATGAATCATTTATGACTCTAAATGACTAGCTGCTTGCACAGACAATAATGCAAACATTGAGTAACAGTGAAACTACTTAAAGTCTGTAACTTTCAATCACAAGATCAAGATTAAACTTTAATTGGTTTCAACCTTGATTTGTGACATGCTAGAAATACTGTTGACTGTATTAGTTTAATCTGAAACATAATACACTTTCCTAGCATTTCATACTACTGAAGGCATTTTCATTGCTCACCAACTTTTGCTGTCCTCTTTCTGGTTTTAAACATAGGGTAAATTTACCCTCCTCACCCCACTGAAATTAGGTTTAGCAATGTAACTTGTTTGAAATTAGGTTTAGCGATGTAACTTGTTTTTGTAGATAATGTGAGCAGACGTGAAATATTTCATTTCCTGGTGGAATCACTTAAGGGTCAGTGTTTGACTATTCTCTTTTCCCTGGCTGCAGCAATCATGGAAGTGCATCTTAAGTAGGAGGCGTCCTAGAACTGAAGGATCCTGGAATGCTAAATTATTACCCTGCACAACTGCCCCGAGAGTCGCAGGACCTACAACAGAATCTGCACGAGTGAGAAATAAACTTGTGTTGGATTAAGCCACTAACACACTGGAGTGGCTGTTGCCTGGTATTGCTTAGCCTACCTTATGTACACAGTATTTCCCCCTTATCCGAGGTTGTGCTGTATGGTTCCAGTTACCCATGGCCAATGGCAACCAGAAAATGTTAAATGGAAAAATTCTAGAAATAAACAGCAAGTTTTAAATTAACTGCCATTATGAATAGTGTGAGGAAGTCTCCAGAATCCAGTTCCATCCCACTTGGTCATGAATCATCCCCTTGACCATTGTCTCCACGCTGTATAAGCTCCCCATCCTATAGTCATCTCATAGCCATCTCGGTCAGAATATGGCAGTGGCTATGTTCAAGTAACCCTTATTTTACTCAATAATGGACACAAAGCATAAGAGAAAAATTTTATCTTCAAGTTCTATAAAAGTGCTGGCAATTCGTATATGCCAAAGAAAACCAGTAGAGTCCTTCCTTTAAGCAAAAAGGTAAGTCTGTATAGGAAAAAATAGTCTATGTAGAGTTTGGTTCTATCTTCAGTTTCAGGAACTTACTGGGAATTGTAGAATGGATTCCCTGTGGATAAGGGGGAACTACAGCACAACCATATCAGTTTTAACCTCTGAATTCCCTAACTCCATAGGAACTATTTATGACAATTTTACGACAATCAGTGACCTTTTACCCTGTCTCCTTGAAAATAAGACAGTGTCTTATATTAATTTTTGCTCCAAAAGTTGCGCTAGGTCTTATTTTCAGGGGATGTCTTATTTTTCCATGAAGAAGAATATGATACACATTTATTGTTAAATGAAAATAAAGGAAATTTATTACCTATATACGGTAGTTGTCAACACAAACCAGACAAACTGTGAATCCTACAGTATCAAGAATTTACTCATTTATTCAATGACAATTATGTCATCATCTTCTGGAACATCATAACAATCCAATTCCTTAATTTCCTGGTGAATTTCTTGTGACTCCATTTCTTTCAGAATCAGTGGACCAAATCTCTCATGTTTAGCCTAGGGGGGCCTTATTTTCGGGGGATGCCTTATATTTCACTCAGAAAGAAACCTGTAAGTCAGTCTTATTTTCGGACAGTGTCTTATTTTCGGGGAAACACGGTATTTGTAATGTTCTAAAACATGGTTTTACATCTGGCAAGCATAAGGCTACTTTCCTCTCAATATATTCTGATTTGGATTAAGTATTGCCTCATAGCTCTAGGCATGATTTCTAAGCAGATTATAAATTTTGCAATCATCTCAATACTATAGAACAAGCTGAGCTATCACTAACAGTATTTCAACACCCAAGAGTTCCCTTCCAATTTTTCTGAAATATCTCACCTTTTTTTTTTTTTTGAATTTTAAAAATAATATTTATTAAAGTATAATTTCCATACACTAAATGCATGCATTATAAGTATACAGTTTGATAAGTTTTTTTTTTCTTCAGTCTTTTTTTTTTAATATATATATATATATATTTTTTTTTTTTTTTGCCCCCCCTCCCTCCCTCCCTCACATCCCTTCCCTCCCCAGAGTTTTATGTCCATTGGTTGTACTTATGTGCATGTATAAAAGTCCTTCGGTTGATCTATTATCTCCCCCAGATCTTCCTCCCCTCCCCGCTGTAATTTGACAGTCTGCTTGTTGATATACTGTCTCTATATCTATCTTTTGGTTCATCAGTTTATAATGTTCTTTATTATCCACAAATGAGTGAGGTCATGTGGTGTTTTTCTTTCAATGACTGGCTTATTTCACTCAGCATGATGTTCTCCATTTCCATCCAAGTTGCTGCAAATGATGAGAATTCCTTCTTTTTTATGGCAGCATAGTATTCCATTGTGTAGATGTACCAAAGTTTTTTGATCCAATCATCTGCTGATGGGCACCTAGGCTGTTTCCAAATTCTAGCTATTGTAGATTGTGCTGCTATGAACATAGGGGTGCATATATCCTTTCTGATTGGTGTTTCTAGTTTCTTGGGATATATTCCTAGGAGTGGGATTACTGGGTCAAATGGGAGTTCCATTTTCAGTTTTTTGAGGAAACTCCACACTGTTCTCCACAGTGGTTGCACCAGTCTGCATTCCCACCAGCAGTGCACAAGAGTTCCCTTTTCTCCACAGCCTCGCCAACACATGTCGTTTGTTGATCTGTTGATGTTGGCCATTCTGACAGGTGTGAGATGGTACCGCATTGTTGTTTTGATTTGCATCTCTCGGATAATTAGTGACTTTGAGCATGTTTTCATGTGCCTTTTGGCCTTCCTTCTGTCTTCTTTTGGAAATATTCTATTTAGGTCCATTGCCCATTTTTTAATTGGATCATTCATCTTCCTTTTATTTAGTTGTATAAGCTGTTTGTAGATGTTGGAGATTAAACCTTTATCAGTGGTAACATTTGCAAATATGTTCTCCCACATCGTGGGCTTTCTTGTTGTTTTGTTGATGGTTTCTTTTGCTGTAAGAAAGCTTTTTATTTTGATGTAGTCCCATTTGTTTATTTTCTCTTTAGCTTCCATTGCCCTAGGGGCAGTATCAGTGAAGAAGTTCTTTTGGCATATGTCTGAGATTTTGCTGCCCGTGGATGCTTCTAGTATTTTTATGGTTTCCCGTCTGATGTTTAAGTCCTGTATCCATTTTGAGTTTACTTTTGTGTATGGTGTAAGTTGGTGATCCAGTTTCATTCTCTTACATGTATCTATCCAATTTTCCCAACACCATTTATTGAAGAGACTGTCTTGACTCCATTGTATATTCGTGCCTCCTTTGTCAAATATTAATTGAGCATAGTGATTTGGGTTGATATCTGGGTTCTCGATTCGATTCCATTGATCTATACGTCTGTTTTTGTGCCAGTACCAGGCTGTTTTGAGAACAGTGGCTTTGTAATACAGTTTGAAGTCTGGTATTGAGATCCCTCCTACTTTACTCTTCTTTCTCAGGATTGCTGTGGCTATTCGGGGTCTTTTATTGTTCCAAATGAACTTTTGGAGAG